TGGCATTGACGTGTTCTCGTGAATTCGGTTCGGGCTTTCCAGGAAATGTGCCCTGCTGTCTAGAGGGTTCTGATGCAAGCTGCACAATCTGCATGTCCACATGCTTCAGATGAGCCTCGACTCCATCTAATCTCCTGTCAAAAGTGTCCTGCCTGACTTTTATACTCTGTATCTCGGTCTTCAGCTCAGTAAATGATATCTTCTGATAGAGCATTAGCTGGGCAAGCATCGTCTTGATGTCCGCTTCATCATTCTTCGCAGGTTGAGGCGCTTGGTAACCCTGATTCTACTACCCGTATCCTGGATTCTGCTGCGCATATCCCTGATTATGCCCCTAAAAACGTGACTGAGTGAAGCCCGGGGGATTCTGAGGGATTCTAGGAACGCCCTGCTACTGTGCATTCAATGCTCCGTTCGAGTTTCCGTAAGAGAAACCGAGATGATTCCTAGCCGCGTTCGGGTTGTAGAGATTAGAAGGATTCTGGTATTGATTCCTTCCTATGTAGTTTACGTCCTCAACCGATTCTTCTTCTGATGTGGCCTGATCAACTAGAAACATACCATGCTGGATTTTTTGCGGATTAGACGTATTCTTGAGTCCCATATGCTACTTGATTGCCGATAGATCAGACATGACTGCCTTCAAAGCTGCAGACTCGCCCAAATCGACCCGTCCTGTAGAGCGTCTGATGCTATCTCCTGACATCCCTCTCGCCTTAGCCATCTTCGCAATCTGCATCTCTAGGGTGTTAAAGGGAATATCATATACACTCCCTCCACAAGCTGCGTCCATCCATGCTCTAGTATCGTCTCTCAGTCCGTGGATGAACGTGGAAAGCAACAGTCGTTTATCCATGTCGTGGTGTGGACAAAGGCGTTGATAGCCTTTGAATCTCTCCCATGCATCGTATAGACTCTCGTCACTTACCTGAGTGAAGCTGTGTATAGCTCTCTGTGCAGCTCGGGTCTTCTCTGGGGAGTAGTATTTGGCCATGAATTGCTCTTCTAGCTCCTCCCATGTCGTAATCGAGTTCGGCTCAAGGGTGTAGAGTCAATCTCTTGCCCGATCTATCAGTGAAAACGGAAAGGCCTCCAAGTATACATCCTCGATGTCATCCCTCGTGCCTTCCTAACTGATCTGCACAACATCTTGAACTGAGTCAAGTGAGCAATGGGATCTTCTGTAGGCCGCCCTCTGAAACTCGCCTGACTGAACATCGTGATGCACTCTGGCGGTATCTCGAAACTGTCTATGGGCGGTCTGTTGATGCATGATAGAAGTTGGGTGTGCTTCGATGCAATGTAAGAACCCAAAGTCTCCTCTGCAACGTAAGTAGCTTCGCCTTCGGTATGCTGATCGTAGAGCGGATTCATGCGCTCTTGGTTCATGTGGTTCTGATTCTCTTGGTACTCCTCGTCATGAACCGCACGGTCATGTGAACTACTTGACCTCGACATAGCTTCTCTTCTCTGCTGATTTCGGATGTCTCTCAAAGTACGCTCAATCTTCGGATTGTAGACTATGTCTTCTCTCCGAGTAGAGCTCCTCGTCATGCACTAGAATCCTGCAAACCGCAAAGAAAAAGAGGAACTCGAGACCAAGTGAATCCACAAAAAGAAAAACAAAAACAAAAACCAAGCAAAGATCTAGAATCAATAAAGACCTAGAAATAGGCTAACCAGTCCCCGACAACGGCGCCAAAAACTTGATAGGTGTGTACCGAGTCTAGAATTTATACCCGATTCACAACTCACCGTAAGGATACGGATCGTCGTAACACGGGGTCGAACGCAAGGACCGGTAGCTAAATCTAAATCTAATTGAGACTAAATCAAAGCAAGCAGATGAAAGTGATGGTGGAACTATGTGGAATAACTAAAATAATTAAAATAAGAAAGCAAACAAAAACGTGTAAGCTAGCAATCTAAGATGACCGTAGGTGTCGGGACCGTATTCGCGTGTATGGGTATATGCTAAGCATGCGAGAATTACGATATTGAATTTGTATTCGGGAATCGTCAAGCAACAAAGATACAGAAATCACCTCCCGGCATATAACTTACTATCTAAAATTTTCTAAATCCATATCCTTATGTGATTTATCAAACTAGATGTGTGAAAAACGCTATCATCAACCCTAGATCGATCAAACCATATTCCTATGTCAATAATACGATCTATTCTATCGATTTTGTTCCGAAACTAAACTCATATTCCTATGTAGTTTAGAATCTAAAAGAACTGATCAAGGGGTCAGCACACATCAATTGACATGAAGCGCAAATCGATAAAACCGAAACAAATCCAAATCGCAACCAAGTTAGGGTTCAAACATACCAAAAACACAAACGAATCCTTAACCCACAGTCGTGGATCTACTCACGGTTCATGGAAAAACACAGAATAAAACCGGAAACAGAAACTAAAGAGGGAGAAGAAAGACTCATGTCGACAGCAAGCGATCTTCACGTTCCAACTCTCCTTCTTCTTCCCGAAATCCCGTAAACTCTTATTTCTCTCACCAAAGCTCTCCAAAGTCTGTCTAAAATCTCTCTGTCCTCTTGGACGTCTGTAGGCACTTTTTATAAACCCTAGGTGGCACTCCCGAAGTCCTATTCTCATTCAAACTCTGAAAATTCGAATCTGGGGTTTTTCTGGGTTTTGACTCGGACCAAGTCAAAACTCTAACTCGACCAAGTCAAAACGAGATCTAAACAGTTTCGGTCTAGCCCAGTTTTCTGACTCGGGCATTCTGACTCGGGCATTCTGACTCGGACGTTCTGACTCGGTCTCTTCGTAACAGGTTTGGAATGAACCATCTTCAGCATTTTGACTCGGCCCACTTTCCACAGTTGACTCTGACCGAGTTAAGATAGGAAGTTCTTGACATATTTCATCCTTTTAACTCCAGATTGCTCCCGTTTTGGTCCAAATCACATCCGAGACCTGTAATCCTATGAAAACACAACCAAACCGAGTTTCGTGGTCTAATACGCCTATAATGCCTACAAATGTATGTGATCCTCGTATAAATCCTATAAAAATATCCTGGAAATATAGAGAAAAATAGGAGTTATTACATTGGTTTATCGATTTAAATAATTACAAGCTACAGCGATGAAAACGAGCTCACACAGAGGCAACTCGAGCCACTCACCTCAAAACGGATCTGTTTCTGGTTTTGGCCAGATTTGTTGGCGTTTTCCGGCGATTTCAACATCGTAGATCCTCTCGGATGTTCTAGGGCTGCCCCTTGTTGCTTTACCGAGCTCTTTTCCCCGTCCCTTCCTCTCCTTCTCCTTCTTCTTCTCTCTTTTCCTTCTCTGCAATTCCTCCAGCAACAATGGCTGACTTGCTCTCTTTTGCAGGGTTTTTAGAGAAGATGGATGGGCTCTAGAGCAGATAGGAGGGTAGGGATACGAGCTGGTGCCTCCCACTACGGTTTGAGTGGAGTTAGGCGGCTGTTAGACCCCTTTTGGTGCATGTATGTCACGTCCAATAATGCAAGTTCGTCTGATATTTTCGCGTCTGTACCGCTCGGTCTGGATCTGAACCGGTCGGTCCATACGTATTTTCTCTCCTCCGGTCTCTTGGCTCGTTTGGTCCACGGTATTTACCCATTCAGTCCAGACCGGTAGGTCTAACCGGTCGGTCTAGACGGTCTCCTTCTTCTCTTGTCATTTTTCTCATCTTTTCTTGTCTCGCTCGCACGTGGTGATTTCCGAGCCTCTTTCCAACACCTTGTGGTCTATTCCTTAAGGGTTTAAGACTCGTTTATTTAATTATTCTTTTCCGAAATTAATTAAATATTCAAAATCGGATTCGGGTTATTACAAATTTCATCCTTCAATCTCAGTTTCAGTACAAGAATGTCTTCGAATTTGTAGAAATACAAAACGAAGATGATTCTTTTTGTCGATGGAACGGTTGAGGATGCTTCTGGCTGCATTCTTTTTTCACCACTAGGTGTGGCCAACCTCATATCAATGTGAGCAGCAACTTCGTCATGAGCGTGAGTGCATAAACCTCCTGTAATATATCACGGACCCTGTCGATAGATCCTTCCTTTATATGCACGAATTTCATCCTTCAATCTCAGTTTCAATACAAGAATATCTTCGGACTTGTAGAAATACAAAACGAAGATTATATTAGACCATGACCTATTTGCCTCACTATGATCATTCCTCACTAATTATGACTCATATGATTCATACGACTAATATGACTCATTATGATTCTCTTGTATTTCTTGACTCATCGCGATCCACGTGTCTCGCTGCGATCTATTGACTCATTATAAATTATGTGACATATACTAAATACGTTCTACGCGGCTTACAACGAATCTAGGACACCTAAACCATAAACTAGAACATCAAAGTAAAATTCAACATACTTGCCTCTTCCATTGCATACTCGTTTCTATGTATAACTTATTACTCCACTTATAACTAACTATGGCCACTTTGTTCGGACAATTTATGTGGAGTATTCGCCCCGACTCTTGGTTCAGTACTTTGGTCTGAAGATTATATGGAAAACTCAAACGTTGAAAGTTTAAACCTGAAAAGTTCAAACATGTTTCTTCATTAAATTTCTTTAAAATTACAGAAGTTATTTAACTCAGAAAATCGTGTATTTTTATTTTTTAAAATAATTTTTTTTATAATTCGGAAGTTTAATGAACCTTTGGTCCAACTATATCTCCCAAAAGATCGAAAAAATTCAGGTCAAAGTTTTTCTCCATACCTAGATTTGAATCCAAGATCAAAATATACTTTGCATGTTTTCATATCACCCAAGTTTTTGGGTTTAAATAAAAAAAATTAAACAGTTGGATATTTCTATCTTTTAACCATTTTTATTTTTTGTCTGGACGTATTCCGAATTCCTAGGTACTTTGGTATGTAGTTATGATATTGTCAGTAAGGTGAAAGTGTGTTTTGCCAAATAAGCGTTTTCAGATATTGCGTTTAAAAACCGAAGCAAACCAAAACCGAACCGATCTGTCTTTGTTCTCCAAAACTTGTCAAGTTAGAGAGGAGCCGATTGTCGTCTTCATCGTTAATTTAGGGTACTCGACACGCGTTTGTGGTTTCTTCTTCGTGATGAACTAGGGCTTAATCCAACTATCTCCGGTTGTATTCAATTTATTTACTTGGAGCTCATTCTTCATCTCTCCGATCGGCAACCATGACAGAGGTAAGCCCACATCGCAAAAACCCATGAGTTATTTTGTTCATGTTCTTCGCTGGAGATGAATCTTATCCTTAATTCTGTCTGAAAAGTTTTCGGATTTTGTGAATTTCTTGCAACTGTTGTTCAAATCATCAATCTCTCTGGAAACCCGCGTTCTTATTTGATCGAAACAGCAACCGAATCGAATCAAAGTTTTTGCTTACGAGTGTGTTGAGATTGATGTCTGTATCAGTATTGGGTGAGCCAAGGGAACAAGTGGTGCGAGTTCTGCAAGATATTCATACAGAACAACCCCACAAGTATCAGAAACCATGAGCTCGGGACTCGTCATCGAGATAATGTCAACAAGAAGCTTTCGGATATGCGTGAGAAGAGCGTAAATGATA